GACTTACAGTTAGTGAGTGCATACATATTTATTATTTTCATACTCCAACTATACACCTAAGGTATCTAGGATTGTCTGCATCCTCTCCATCCTTCCATGAGCTCCGCTGTTCTTCAGTGACCAAGGAGGACCCCTGCTGTCTCATCCCCAGCCATGGATCAGCCAATCTGGCAACAGCCAGGCCTGAAGGGCTGAGCCAGGGTGATATAACTGGTAGTGAGGTCATTGCTGTGCCAGGCCAGTCACACAATCCTGAAAGTCCCTGGCCTTGTAATCTTCTTAATAGCCCAGCAGATTGCTTCAGTGGTAGTCAGGGTGTGGTGTGTGTATGTGTGTGTGTGTGTACAAGCAACTCCGCAAGTGTAATGTTCTGAGTCACTTTTGACCAGGGCGAATTGTCCAGATTAGTGTGTGTGTGTGTGCGTGTATAGGGGCCACAGAGACACACCCTTTTTCTCTCCTCTGTAAACTCTCCTGATGTTCTTATCCAAGTGTGACTATCTGAGAGGAGCAGAGCTTGACAGACAGTCCATGGTGCTATATGTAGACAGAAGTGCTGTCTCCGAGCACCCTCTGTTGGAACTGCACTGTAATGCAACCCAGACAAAAAGGAAGGGAGCTCCATTCCAAACTGAAAGGACTTTTACATAATGTCCTAATATGGTAATGTAGCAGAATATTTTATCCAAAGTTACTTCAAATTAACACAATATATATATTATACAGTAACTCACTGCATCCTGGAAAAACCTTGGATCGCAAGAGAGTTCACTTTAATTTATTTTCAAATCCAAGGCGTTTTGAATGCATTACTCAGTCATAAAACAAAAAAGGTGGTAGGTGAGTGCTTTCAATTTATGCGCATTTTTTTTCCCAGCACACCAGATCAAAATGACAAACCCTGATGTTGCTTGAACCAACTGTGCCAACAGAACCTTGTTAACATTCTTCTAGCTTGGTCCCAGATCTGTTCATGCCAACCTAAGGCAAGTATGGGTAACTGCATACGCGAAATGTGTCTGAAAGTGGACGTGGCAAAATAAGTGGGTGGATCATCAGTGATGGGTGTAAGTAACATCAGCGCTCTTTGATTGGTTAGACGGTTTTGATTGAGCTGTGTTTTCTGTTTAACGCATTTTCATTGGTCAGTTCCTGTGTGGTGTTACTGATGCTTTGTCTACGTAGCAGGTTATGAGAAATGAGAATTAACGTATCAGGTTAGAAGAATGAGGTTAAGGTTAGGAAAAGGGTTAGGGTTAGCTACATGCTCAGAGTTGCAGCCATGCAAAACTGTCTTGAGTGGCAACAAATCTGCCCAATTAGCAGTTCGCTTTCCATAAAGCTAATTGTGTTGATATGCCCGTTTATGTTGACACACCCTTGATCCGGTAGCCATGTTGAGTTACAGTTACCCATGACTCACCTTAGGAGTTGGCTTTATAGCACAAATAGATCTGGGACCAGGCTAACCTTATTCTACAAGGAAGTTATACAGTCAAAATGTTATGATTGAGTTGTCGAGATCTATTTCATGCTACAGCAGTACCATTCAAGATCATCATTCAAAATATCCCAAATAAAATAATACCGCATAACAGTCACATGATATGAGAAAATCTACTTCATTTGCATTTTATGGAGGAAGAGGAAGTCGAAAGTTTTAAATTGCAAATATTTCCAGATATGGGGTGGTCATTAAGGATACTGCAGCACTTTTAAATGTTAATTCAGTCGGCATTTGTTGGGATATCTTTGATTTCAACTATATTTTAATTGATTGATTCAAGAGGTAAAATGTGTTACATTATTTATTTATTTTCAATCAAAAACAATTATCAGTAGTTTAAGGACAAAATAATATAACGTTTAGTAGTTTCAGCAGTACAGTGACAACACATTGCCTCCGAAGTTTCTATGATATCAGATTTCAAACAAGAAAGCAATGGGAGAAGGCTGTCTGAATGTTTGATAATGTCATATCATTGAACACACATTTCTTATTCTATAGATATATAAACCCTGGGCAGAATTAATTGATTTCTCCATAGACTTTTAAACTTCACAATAAACATGATAATCATTGTAGATAAAAAGGGAACAACAGCTCTTTCTGCAGCAGACAGTCCATTAGAAGTGAGTTTGGGTACAGAATTGCATAAAAACTGCTGCCATTCACTTTTTTTATTGATAATTTACACCAAGATCAAAGTGTGTTTCAATTTTTCACAGATAGAGGCTAAATATTGATTCAAACATCATACTATTTCTATGCCCACTAACTAGGCAGATTAAGGTACATCATGAGAGATACTCCTGACAGTGCATATTTCAAACAGCACTGGATTTAAAACTTTATGGGAGCATTCAGGAAGTCTGTCAACGTTCAAACAACTTTACCACAACGTTGGACTATGGTGTGTTTAAAACGTAGGGGAACATTCAGGAAAGAGAAAAAGGACACCTCAAAAACGTCCTGACAACGTTGATACATTTTCTTGCAACGTTCACAAACATTCTTACAACATCACCACAACATTGGGCTGTGGTGTGTCGAAGACCCCCACCTTGAAAGTGCTAGGATCACACACACACACACACATCTGATACTTGGGAGTTTACATACCCACACTTAACTATCGTCTGGGTCTACATTCTTCTGTATCGTAACCATCACTACATGCTTTGGTTTGTCAAGGTGTCCTGATTCATAGTCACCTCTACCAAGGCTATACAGAACAGAAGTGCCCGCACAATTTACTAGTAGTTCCTAAATCGCTCCACTAACTGAAGCTGTTTGAATAGCAATACTGATGTATACAAGTAGTACCAATACACGCAGCACCATTAAAGTAGTACCGCGATTCTAGAACATAGAATTCTATAGAATCCAAATAACAGTTTCCTTTGACCTCTAGTGTATTGTGCGAACGAACGTTCATGTTCACCATGATATTTCATTAATACTATTCAACAAGCAGGAGAGAGAGAGAGACATAAATACAGTATATAGAGAGATGGGAGCAGTACGGAGGGCGGATAGAGAGAGAAAAAAAGAGAAAGGGAGAGAGACAAGCAGCTGTCCCAGTTCCCAGGAGCCCCATCCTTTAGCGCTCATCTCTACAAAGGGCCAGCGGCTGGCCCGTCTCCCCATCCATCCCTCTATCCACCCCCCCGCTAACAGCACACATCTGGGTAGACAAGATAGGGCCCCCAAGACCCCCACACACAGAAAGAGATGGGGGTGTAGAATGGGTAGCTAGCACATTTGGGTGATTGAGTCCTGCTGCGCATTTGTTCCCGTTCCATCTCTCTGGATCTCTCCCTCTCATTACATCAGCACATTTAAAGACCTTGATCAGTCATCCAATAATCAAAACGCACACCTTATTAAAACAGGCCAACCAAGCAGAAGAGGGACCAGCACAAAAACCAGTCAAGTCTCTTACAATTAAAATCTGAGACAACACAATACAAAAGCTTTTTCTTTTGTTTCAACCACAAACCTCCCCATCTTAACACACACACACACACACACACACACTAGACTGAATCAAAAAAGTGGAACAAAGCAAATAGCCCTTACACAAGCCTCAGGGAGATTACATGATGTAGCCAGCCATGCCATGGCTGTTTTGTAATGCTGTAATGTCGTAACGTAGAGATTAGAATACAATCAAGCAGTGTGCCAACTGTGTCAGCAGCTAACCCTGCCTCACACCTCTCCTCTCCTCCTCACCAACCTGTCTCCTTACAGGTAGTCTGTCTATATCATACAGCGTTTAATGACCACATCTCACTGTTAAGATCATTTCAAAGACTTTCAAAAGGGACTGTAATAAAAAGGAACTGAATTAAGTTGAGAGCTCCTATGATATGACCCTTATTTGCTGATAAACTGCTTCAAGCTTTCAGGGGATAAAAGGCAAATTGATGAGGTGATCTCTGACCTGCATGTTGGTCAGGATTGTAAAGGTGGAGAATATGAGCGTTAACAGTACAGACTGACTCTGGGTCAGGGAGTACAGATACCTTTCTTATGGGGTGGTAGATTGGAGAAGCAAAGTCTCTTCGGAACACCCCTCCAGCGTGGCTCTTTGGTGCCTTCTGTCACACAGTGAGTGTTGAAATGGAAGGACAGCCCTGGGTTATACCATTCAGATATATATGGGGGAGACCATAACCCTACCAGAGGGAGTCTAGCGTCACAGAGAAAACAAACATTAAAAATACCTGAGAGAGAGCGAAAGAGCGAGATAGGGAGTTAAAGAAATAGAGGGGCAGAGGGTCGAGAGATAAAGAGGGATAAAAAGAAGTATAGAAAGAGGGAAGAAAGAAAATACTCTTTGTTCAAAGACATCTCCCCACACCAAATTACATTCAGTTACATCATAGTACCTTGATTCTCCATTTCTTATTCAGTTATCACCCACTCTGATTGGGCAGAAAAGGGGTGGGGGGGGGGGGGGGGAATACAGTATTTTCTCAGTAGTGTAGAGAGAGGAGAAGAGCATAAACCCTTAGGGTACACTGTTTCATTCTCTATGTAAGCAGCAGCTTCTTTCTAAAGCGATTCTTTCTTTTCTTTGTAGCACCAGCTAAAAAACGTCTCATTAGGGCAGGCTTGATAAAGAGCAGTGGTCGGTCTCCGTGGTAACTTCACAAGCCTTTTTCTGTCGTGAGGTCTCTTTATGACATCACACTCTACTAAATCGATAGAAGAGTGTTGGTTTCTCTAGGGCTAGCCTCCTCTTCTTGGGAGTGTGCAGTATGGATTTTTTGGTAGTGTCTTATAGTTACAGCAGAGTTGTTAACACTCGTTAGAGTTAGCGTCGTTATCGTTAGCCTCCAACAGGGGGCAGTATAGGGAGCAGCAAGGCTCGGCAGTGTTTCGCCTCTTGAGCCATCCTGGTTGACTTGCCAACTTTTGGCCCGCTATTTTACTTGTGTGTGTGAGTGTGTGTTTGTATGTCGCTACCACAACACTACACTAGGCCCTCAGGTCAGTAGAATTTGTCATCGATGCGGAAGTGGGGCCTCGTGACATCATCAGGGTTGAGAAACACAGAAATCGACTTCCCAGGGTTTTCTGTCACCAGCTGCTGCAGCCTGGCGGCCAGCTTGTCGTCCGAGGGCGAGATGATGCCGCTGGCCGGGTAACCGTGGCCAGGTGACCCTCCATGCCCATTGGTGGCGCCCGCTGCCTCCCTCTTGAGCTGGCCTGCCTGCCGTGCCTGGTCCAGGGCCGCCCGGAGGTGCTCGGTGGGGTCTGATCGGACGTGGGCCAGCTTCCGGGCCACCAGCAGGGCTTGGCTGTCCGACAGGTGCTCCAACATGTTGCACTGGGGCAAGAAGTAGTTGGGACAGTTCTTACCCAAGATGCAGTGGGCCAGGTCATCCAGGAGGCCCAGGAGGAGGCGGGCGGGGGTGTCGGAGTCGGGCGAGGACAGGTAGGAGGGGGGCAAGCGGTCACAGGCCCAGAAGAGGAGGGTGCGGAGGTGGTAAGGGCTGAGGCCAGTGCGGGGGCGAGCCAGGAGGCGGGAGAGGACAGCCTTGGCTGCCTGGAAGGCCTGGGCCATGGGGAACGGGATGCACTTCTTCAGCTGAACCTGGAGATAGACAATGATATGGCAGCCAGTATTTCAGATTGAATTGAATAAACCAACAAGGGGAAATTGGATGTCACCAGCAAGACATACAGCATCAAGATGCATGCACCAGAGACAGCCCTGATGGAAATTATACTGAAGCTAAAATGTTACAGTTGAGTCATTTTCAACTGTATTTAGAAGACAGTTATGAACCCTACTACTTTCATATTTAAAGTTCAAAATGCTTCAACTTTAAGTGAACAGTGAACCTGTCCTTCCACTATATATATACAAAAGTATGTGGACACCCCTTCAAATTAATGAATTCGGCTATTTCAGTCACACCCGTTGCTGACAGGTGTATAAAATCAAAACAGACAGCCATGCAATCTCCATAGACAAACATTGGCAGTAGAATGGTATTACTGAAGAGCTCAGTGACTTCCAACGTGGCAGCGTCATAGGATGCCACCTTTTCAACAAGTCAGTTTGTCAAATTTCTGCCCTGCTAGAGCTGCCCCGGTCAACTGTCAGTGCTGTTATTGTGAAGTGGAAACGTCTAGGAGCAACAACAGCTCAGCCGTGAAGTGGTAGGCCACACAAGCTCACAGAACGGGACCGCAGAGTGCTGAAGCATGTCCTTGGTTGCAAAACTCACACAGTTCAAAACTCCCTCTGGAAGCAACGTCAGCACAGTAACTGTTCGTCGGGAGCTTTATGAAATGGGTTTCCATGGCCGAGCAACCTAAGATCACCATGCGAAATGTCAAGCGTCGGCTGGAGTACTGTAAAGCTCGCCGCCATTGGACTGGAGCAGTGGAAACTAATTCTCTGTAGTGATGAATCACGCTTCACCATCTGTCAGTCCGACAGACAAATCTGGGTTTGGGGGATGTCAGGAGAACGCTACCTGCCCGAATGCATAGTGCCAACTGTAAAGTTTAGTGGAGGAGGAATAATGGTCCGGGCTTGGCCCCTTAGTTCCAGTGAAGGGAAATCTTAACACTACAGCATACAATGACATTCTAGATGATTCTGTGCTACAGTTTGGGGAAGGCCCTTTCCTGTTTCAGCATGACAATGTATTTATTTTATTTCACCTTTATTTAACCAGGTAGGCCAGTTGAGAACAAGTTCTCATTTACAACTGCGACCTGGCAGTTGACAATGCCCCCATGCACAAAGCGAGATCCATACAGAAATGATTTGTCGAGATCGGTGTGAAAGAACTTGACTGGCCTGCACAGAGCCCTGACCTCAACCACATCGAACACCTTTGAGATGAATTGGAACCCTGACTGCTAGCCAGGCCTAATCAGTGCCCGACCTCACTAATGCTCGTGGCTGAATGGAAGCAAGTCCCCGCAGCAATATTCCAACATCTAGCGGAAAGCCTTCCCAGAAGAGTGGAGACTGTCATAGCAGCAAAGAGGGGACCAACTCCATATTAATGCCCATGATTTTAGAATGAGATGTCCACATACTTTTGGTAATGTAATGTACTTTAGCTTCAGCTAACATTTACAAGGTAGATTTGGCAATACACAAAATAAATAGCAGGGCAATTCCACAGAAACAGAATGATTGCAAAGTTAAACAAACCATACACCTCTATGCACATGGACAACTTTTAACAATTTCCACTGAACATTTGACAAAAACACATTTACTTGAAGAACAGTGCAGATGCAAAGTTTGGTAACAGAATGACGGCACAAACAGCAAACTGTAATTTTGTTACTGTGGAATTGCCAAGCAGTATCGGGCAGACTTCCGCAACAACTAAAAGTATGAAGTAGAAGGCTAACCTTCTCTGCTTTTTTGGTCCTGCAGCTATCACATTGGAGCAGCATGAAGCCTACCCGTGCACATGGGCAGATACTCTGTGTGAGTGCATCGTCTTGCGTAACGCTCATCTGCAATATTTGCGGTTCATCCTGCTGCTTGTGGCAACGTCATATCGCTGAGTCTCAATTTAACACATTTAGCTAGCTAACCATTATGGCCAACAAAGGAAGCAGGCCCAATCTATTGAACTCGCTAACTACTCAAAAGCAGAGCTATCTTAACTAGCTTACTGGCTACCCACCTCGCTGCGTGAGAAGGCCAGCCTCCACTCCCGGTCGGGCCTCCCCCCCAGCGGGGCTGGGCAGGGCAACAGGTAGAACCCAGAGATGGCCTCCTCCTCCGTGATCTTCCCGTCCCAGAAGTGGTTGGCCGTCAGCCAGCTCTGGGCCACGGCAGGCCAGCCCCGGAAGGACACCACAGGCAGCAGGTCATAGAGCACCCGGCTGGACCCCGCCTGGAGGTAGGGACGAGTTATTGTAAAATATCAAATTATTTAAAAGAGATGTTCTGAATGACTTATCTGGTTAAACAAAAGCTAAATAAATACATTTGTTCAACACAAGTTTTTCCGGAATCGACCAGTTGAGATGGTTGCTAGTGCCAATGAATCGAATTCTGGAATTGATACGGACACCAACAATGGCCTCCTATTCCCTCTATAGACACTACTATTAGCACTATATAGGGAATAGGGTGCCATTTGGGACATAGCCTAACTCATCCCTACCTGGAGAATGAGGGTGGTCAGGGGCCCGTTGCGCTCCAGCCTCTCCGGGATGGGGATGCCTCTCTGGGGGGAACGTCTCAGCTCGTCCACCGCCTCACCCACCACCCCCCAGAACCAGTCAGCCACCAGCGCCGGAGAGAAGTAGCACCCATCCAGAGACTGGTGGGGGGACTGGAATAAAATCATGACCCAACTTTAGTTAAAGTGCATTTTGTTCTTACTAGACGCAGAGACATAAAAATGGTTCATCTGACGCTGGAAGTACATAAAATCCCTTCATTGCCAAAATCCTGAACTATCCCTTTAAAATCATTTCAACACACTTTACAGTAAAACAACACAATAAAATAAATGTAAAAGCAATACACATTTTATAATCTTTTATAAAACTAAAAGCAATAAAAAAAGAATAAGAGAAGTTAGAAAACGCATTACATGGAGAGAGGGGGGAACGGCACCAGAGGCTTGGTGACCCATTCCCCTTTCCGCCTCCTCCTCCTCCTCCTCCTCATCATCGGGGGGTAATCCATTCTCCTCCTGGCAGCAGATGCTCCACCTGGCCAGAGTGTTGGGGTCGCAGAGACGCAGGGACAGCCAGGAGTGGCAGGGAGCCGACTGCCGCATGTCTAGGGTGACGGGCTGGTTGACATGAGATTATACTTTATTAGGCTATACTTTTTTTCTGAGGCAATACTAGTGATTTGTTTGGCATCAAACACCATATCAGAAAGTATACAGTAAAAACATCCCATAAGATACAACACATCACTACAAAACACACAACTTCTCATCAATAACATAGACACGTTAAGTAATACGTTTCACATCCCATCCCTATTGCACCAACCTGGTTGCGGTCGTGGAGTTTGAGCGCGGGCACCAGGAGGGTGAAGTCCAGGTCGAAGTCAGCCCCCTTGGCGTAGTCCCCCAGCTCCTCTGGGTTGAGGTCCAGGACCCCCTCCCTGGCACCCCCAGACAGGAGCAGGTACTCATTGGCCACTGGAAGACGCTGGTCCACCTTCTGTACTAGTCCTAGAGAAAAACACACACACACACACACACACACAGAGGATGAGTGTAATATGACGTTCTAAAAACAAATACAATACTTGAGCCGTTCTGTTTCTTCTGAAGGCAATGCATACATACAGGAAGTATTCATAAAATACAGTTGTAGCGAAACTGACATAAAAATATATGAGGTCTACACAGCTCCCTCAGTGAGTGCAGTGCATGGTTTTATGTTATTCTCCATGCTAGCTGGTCGTCCTCAACCAACCCTGGCTTTATCCTCCTAGGGGGAGTCTTTACTGAATACAGCCTAAATGACTGGGAAAACTGCAATCACTCAGACAGAAGGGAAGAGGAGGGGAATCGGAGGAAGGGAAAGTCTGAGGGAATGAGAAATAGGGGGAGAGGAAAGAAAACTGATTGTGAGAAAGAGTGTGTGAGAGAAACAGAAAGGAAATGGGTGAAAAGGGAGTGTAAACTAATAGCTTTCAAATAGTAATAACATTCTATCGATCTAGCTTCTGGCAAACAAACTCCCCACCCAGCCCAAACCAAAACTCTCCTCTTTGCCAAAGAGTTTATGAAAAATACTGAACCCAATCAAATCCCTTTACAGTGTTCTCAACTATGGCAGGACTTCTGTGCTCCAGTCAAGCAAGATTAGAGCCGGACAGGCTTAAAGGGTCACTCTCAACACATGATCCCATGCCTCTTCAACGCGCGCACACACTCACACCACACACACGTGTGCAAGTACGCACACAGGGCTAAGACCCATTGATGCCTTCCAGGCTGTCACCTTTGACCTGAAGTACACCCATATACCCATCCCCTCAGGGAGGCTCTCAGAGAGGGATATGAAGCTGTGGGGTGGGGGAGGGGGTCCAGGGGAGGGTTGAGGGTGGTGCCCCCTGGTGGTGTGACTGCCGACTGCAGACACTAGGACATCCGTCAGACTGTGGTGGCTGTGAGGCTGCAGCCTGGAGCCTAAAAGCTCCTAACGCGATTTCCCTCATCCAAATTCAGACCTTCGCCCCAGTCGGAAGTCCTGAGCGCTCTGGAGCAGGTTTTCATCAAGGAGCTCTCTGTACTTCGCTCCGCTCATCTTTGGAACGATCTTGATTAGTCTCCCAGTCCCTGCCGCTGAAAAACATCTGCAGAGCATGATGCTGCCACCACCATGCTTCACCGTAGGGATGGTGCCAGGTTTCCTTCAGATGTGACACTTGGCATTCAGGCCAAAGAGTTCAATCTTGGTTTCATCAGATCAGATAATCTTGTTTCTCATGGTCTGAGAGTCCTTTAGGTGCCTTTTGGCAAACTCCAAGCAGCCTGTCATGTGCCTTTTACTGAGTGGCTTCCGTCTGGCCACTCTACCATGAAAGCCTGATTGGTGGAATGCTGCAGAGATGGTTGTCCTTCTGGAAGGTTCTCTTCTGGATTTTGCTCTGACATGTACAATCAACTGTGGACCTTATATAGACAGGTGTGTGCCTTTCCAAATCATGTCCAATCAATTGAATTTACCACAGGTGGACTCCAATCAAGTTGTAGAAACATCTCAAGGATGATCAATGAAAACAGGATGAACCTGAGCTCAATTTCGAGTATAATAGCAAAGGGTCTGAATACTTATGTAAATAAGGTATTTCAGTTTTTTATTTTTAATACATTTGCAAAAATGTCTAAAAACCTATTTTTGCTTTGTCAATATGGGGTATTGTGTGTAGATTGCTGAGGATTTTTATTTATTTAATCCATTTTAGAATAAGGCTGAAACGTAACTAAATGTGGAAAAAGTCAAGGGGTCTGAATACTTTCCGAAGGCACTATAAATATATATGAGAGAGAGGAGGAGAGAGCGCCGCTGCCAGAGCTAAAGTGGACCGTAGTCAAAAATTGTGTGTGTGTGACACGCTGAGGACACAAGTCCTATAAAATAAAGCACAAATGGGAGCGTTGAAAGCAGTCAACAACCATTACACAACCGATCATTAACTGAACACAGGCGGAACGACTTAGCTGCTACAGCCTCACAATCAAACAACGGTCAATTTATATTCAGATTAAGTCGCTGTGTTGACATTACTGACAAAAATATACGCAAATAGAAACTTGTAATTAATCTAGCTCGATCTAAGTGAAGGCTAAGTGAGGTACAAAAAATATATACAGTGAGGGAAAAAAGTATTTGATCCTCTGCTGATTATGTACATTTGCACACTGACAAAGAAATTATCAGTCTATAATTTTTTTAATGAGGGTAATAAGTATTTGACCCCCTCTCAATCAGAAAGATTTCTGGCTCCCAGGTGTCTTTTAAAACAGATAACGAGCTGAGATTAGGAGCACACTCTTAAAGGGAGTGCTCCTAATCTCAGCTTGTTACCTGTATAAAAGACACCTGTCCACAGAAGCAATCAATCAGATTCCAAACTCTTCACCATGGCCAAGACCAAAGAGCTCTCCAAGGATGTCAGGGACAAAATTGTAGACCTACACAAGGCTGGAATGGGCTACAAGACCATCGCCAAGCAGCTTGGTGAGAAGGTGACAACAGTTGGTGCGATTATTCGCAAATGGAAGAAACACAAAAGAACTGTCAATCTCCCTCGGCCTGGGGCTCCATGAAAGATCTCACCTCGTGGAGTTGCAATGATCATAAGAACGGTGAGGAATGAGCCCAGAACTACACGGGAGGATCTTGTCAATGATCTCAAGGCAGCTGGGACCATAGTCACCAAGAAAATAATTGGTAACACACTACACCGTGAAGGATTGAAATCCTGCAGCGCCCGCAAGGTCCTCCTGCTCAAGAAAGCACATATACAGGGCCGTCTGAAGTTTGCCAATGAACATCTGAATGATTCAGAGGAGAACTGGGTGAAAGTGTTGTGGTCAGATGAGACCAAAATCGAGCTCTTTGGCATCAACTCAACTCGCCGTGTTTGGAGGAGGAGGAATGCTGCCTATGACCCCAAGAACACCATCCTCACCGTCAAACATGGAGGTGGAAACATTATGCTTTGGGGGTGTTTTTCTGCTAAGGGGACAGGACAACTTCACCGCATCAAAGGGACGATGGACGGCGCCATGTACCGTCAACTCTTGGGTGAGAACCTCCTTCCCTCAGCCAGGGCATTGAACATTGGTCGTGGATGGGTATTCCAGCATGACAATGACCCAAAACACACGGCCAAGGCAACAAAGGAGTGGCTCAAGAAGAAGCACATTAAGGTCCTGGAGTGGCCTAGCCAGTCTCCAGACCTTAATTCCATAGAAAATCTGTGGAGGGAGATGAAGGTTTGAGTTGCCAAACGTCAGCCTCGAAACCTTAATGACTTGGAGAAGATCTGCAAAGAGGAGTGGGACAAAATCCCTCCTGAGATGTGTGCAAACCTGGTGGCCAACTACAAGAAATGTCTGACCTCTGTGATTGCCAACAAGGGTTTTGCCACCAAGTACTAAGTCATGTTTTGCAGAGTGGGTGAAATACTTATTTCCCTCATTAAAATGCAAATCAATGTATAACATTTTTTACATGCGTCTTTCTGGATTTTTTTGTTGTTATTCTATCTCTCACTGTTCAAATAAACCTACCATTAAAATTATAGACTGATCATGTCTTTGTCGGTGGGCAAACGTACAAAATCAACAGGGGATCAAATACATTTTCCCCTCACTATATACACTACCAGTCAAAAGTTTGGACACACCTACTCATTCAAGGGTTTTTCTTTATTTTTTACATTGTAGATGAATAGTTAAGACATCAAAACTATGAAATAACACATATGGAATCATGTAGTAACCAAAAAAAGTGTTAAACAAATCAAAATATATGTTATATTTGAGATTCTTCAAATAGCCACCCTTTGCCTTGATGACAGCTTTGCACACTCTTGGCATTCTCTCAACCAGCCTCATGAGGTAGTCACCTGGAATGCATTTCAAATAATAGGTGTGCCTTCTTAAAAAGTTAATTTGTGGAATTTATTTCCTCCTAAATGCGTTTGAGCCAGTCAGTTGTTTTGTGACAAAGTAGGGGGGTATACAGAAGATAGCCCTATTTGGTAAAAGACCAAGTCCATATTATGGCAAAAACAGCTCAAATAAGGAGTCCATCATTAATTTTAAGACATGATGGTCAGTCAATACAGAACATTTTAAAAACTTTGAAAGTTTCTTCAAGTGCAGTCGCAAAAACCATTAAGCGCTATGATGAAACTGTCTCTCATGAGGACCGCCACAGGAATGGAAGACCCAGAGTTACCTCTGCTGCAGAGGATAAGTTCATTAGAGTTACCAGCCTCAGAAATTGCAGCCCAAATAAATGCTTCACAGCGTTCAAGTAACAGACACATCTCAACATCAACTGTTCAGAGGAGACTGTGTGAATCAGGCCTTCATGGTCGAATTGCAGCAAAGAAACCACTACTAAAGGACACCAATAATACGAAGAGACCTGCTTGGGCCAAGAAACACGAGCAACGGACATTAGACCGGTGGAAATTTGTCATTTGGTCTGGAGTCCAAATTTGAGATTTTTTGGTTCCAACCGCCGTGTCTTTGTGAGACGCGGTGTGGGTGAACGGATGATCTCCGCATGTGTTTTTTTCCCACCGTAAACCATGGAGGAGGTGGTGTTCTGGTGTGGGGGTGCTTTGCTGGTGACACTGTCTGTGATTTATTTAGAATTCAAGGTACACTTAACCAGCATGGCTACCACAGCATTCTGCAGCGATACACCATACCATCTGGTTTGGGCTTAGTGGGACTATCATTTGTTTTTCAACAGGACAATGACCCAACACACCTCCAGGCTGTGTAAGGTCTATTTTACCAAGAAGGAGAGTGATGGAGTGCTGCATCAGATGACCTGGCATCCACAATCCCCCAACCTCAACCCAATTGAGATGGTTTGGGATGAGTCAGACCACAGAGTGAAGGAAAAGCATCCAACAAGTGCTCAGCATATGTGGGAAGTCCTTCAAGACTGTTGGAAAAGCATTTCAGGTGAAGCTGGTTGAGAGAATGCCAAGAGTATGCAAAGCTGTCAAGGCAAACAGTGGCTATTTGAAGAATCTCAAATATAAAAAATATTTTGATTTGTTTAACACTTTTTTGGTTACTACATGATTCCATATGTGTTATTTCATAGTTTTGATGTCTTCACTATTATTCTATAATGTAGAATTGTCGGCCTCCAGGACAGCCTAGACCGGAGGTTCCAACACCTGGAGATTATGGGGGCCTTCAGTGTGTTGGGACCTCAAGCTGCGTTCTCTAGTGAGAGGATAAACACCTTTAACCTGACCCTCCTCTCCAGGCAGTTCTTGCACGCGCAAGCTCAGTTGGTAGAGCATGGCGTTTGCAACGCCAGGGTTGTGGGTTCAATTCCCACGGGGGGCCAGTATGAAAATGTATGCACTCACTAACTGTAAGTCGCTCTGGATAAGAGTGTCTGCTAAATGACTAAAATATAAAAAATAGTAAAAATAAAGAAAAACCCTTGAATGAGTAGGTGTATCCAAACTTTTGACTGGTACTGTATATATATTCAATATGACCTTAAAATAGGCCATGACCTTGAAAACCGAAATGTTTTGCAAATCTGTCACTTTTGAATAAGATAATAGTCTAGTAAGTGGCGGGATTCTGACCCTATAGGACAGTGTCGGTGAGGTTTCCATTGAGATATCTTCATGCCTTCGGAACCCCCAACATGTGGCCCCATCTGTCCAAAAGAGTCCCCTTCCGAATACGCTTTTCTCTGATTGGTTGTTGCATGCAGGGGGTGACCCCACTGTTGGAGGGGCAAGCCAACACACAGACAACAATAAACAAGCACAGCGGGAAGAGACAAAACAACAGCTTGTTTGGGTTGTTTTGCTTCGTCTTTCCGTCTCTCAACTCTAGGCGAACTCTTGACTTTGCGCGCCTGGACTTGTTCGAGACAATGCCTGACTTGCGCCTCATTCTTTTGTTTTTGTGCCTCGGTGAGTCGGCCGAATCTGAAATGAAGCTCCCCTCCTTTTTCTCCCCGCTCTCCTCTCTAGACGTCTTTGTGTTTGAATTAAAACTACTATAAAGCGGTATAAAACAAATACTTTTCTAATGAGATCTGTGGGGAAGGGGTTCACCAGTAGTCTGGTGTTCAAAGGCACATTTTAAAAAGGGTGTGTCTGCAAAAACTAGCCTAAGACGTGAGGCTGCAGATGGAGAGAGAACCCATGGCGATAACAGACATATCAGTCTATTTTTCTGTCTTTGAATGGAAGTGAAAAATGAAACATGAAGGATTACTCACGGCGTAAACAGAGCAGAAAGCACTAGAATCAAGTTGTTGTTTACTGGTTCAGCAAAGACTTGTAGCATTTTATCTGACAGACTTTAACCTTACAAGAAGATATCTCACTCCTTACTGTAAATAAGAACAATCACTTGGTACAGTGCATTCGGAAAGTGTTCAGACCCCTTGAATTTTTCCACTTTGTTACGTTACGGCCTTATTCTAAAATTGATTAAATAGCTTTTCCCCCTCATCAATCTACACACAATACCCCATAATGACAAAGCAAAAACAGGTTTTTAGAAATTATTTAAAAATATTTAAAAAAACGGAAATATCACATTTACATAAGTATTGAGACCCTTTAATCAGTACTTTGTTGAAGCTCCTTTTGCACCGATTACAGCCTCATGTCTTCGTGGGTATGACGCTACATGCTTGGCACACCTGTATTTGGGGAGTTTCTCACATTCTTCTCTGCAGATCCTCTCAAGCTCTGTCAGGTTGGACGTTGCTGCACAGCTATTTTCAGGTCTTTTCCAGCCTCTGGCTTTGTGGTTCCAAACTTCTTCCATTTAAGAATGGAGGCCACTGTGTTCTGGGGGACCTTCAATTCTGCAGAAATGTTTTGATACCCTTCCCCAGATCTGTGCCTCGACACAATCCAGTCTGAGCTCTACAGTGAGGGAAAAAAGTATTTGATCCCCTGCTGATTTTGTACGTTTGCCCACTGACAAAGCAATGATCAGTCTATAAACTTTATGGTAGGTTTATTTGAACAATGATTTGTATTTTAATGAGGGAAATAAGTATTTGACCCCCTCTCAATCAGAAAGATTTCTGGCTCCCAGGTGTCTTTTATACAGGTAACGAGCTGAGATTAGGAGCACACTCTTAAAGGGAGTGCTCCTAATCAGTTTCTTACCTGTATAAAAGACACCTGTCCACAGAAGCAATCAATCAATCAGATTCCAAACTCTCCACCATGGCAAAGACCAAAGAGCTCTCCAAGGATGTCAGGGACAAGATTGTAGACCTACACAAGGCTGGAATGGGCTACAAGACCATTGTCAAGCAGCTTGGTGAGAAGGTGACAACAGTTGGTGCGATTATTTGCAAATGGAAGAAACACAAAATAACTGTCAATCTCCCTCGGCCTGGGGCTCCATGCAAGATCTCACCTCGTGGAGTTGCAATGATCATGAGAACGGTGAGGAATCAGCCCAGAACTACACGGGAGGATCTTGTCAATGATCTCAAGGCAGCTGGGACCATTGTCACCAAGAAAACAATTGGTAACACACTACGCCGTGAAGGACTGAAATCCTGCAGCGCCCGCAAGGTCCCCCTGCTCAAGAAAGCACATATACAGGCCCGTCTGAAGTTTGCCAATGAACATCTGAATGATTCAGAGGAGAACTGGGTGAAAGTGTTGTGGTCAGATGAGACCAAAATCGAGCTCTTTGGCATCAACTCAACTCGCCGTGTTTGGAGGAGGAGGAATGCTGCCTATGACCCCAAGAACACCATCTCCACCATCAAACATGGAGGTGGAAACATTATGCTTTGGGGGTGTTTTTCTGCTAAGGGGAGAGGACAATTTCACCGCATCAAAGGGACTATGGACGGGGCCATGTACCGTCAAATCTTGGGTGAGAACCTCCTTCCCTCAGCCAGGGCATTGAAAATGGGTCGTGGATGGGTATTCCAGCATGACAATGACCCAAAACACACGGCCAAGGCAACAAAGGAGTGGCTCAAGAAGAAGCACATTAAGGTCCTGGAGTGGCCTAGCCAGTCTCCAGACCTTAATCCCATAGAAAATCTGTGGAGGGAGATGAAGGTTTGAGTTGCCAAATGTCAGGCTCGAAACCTTAATGACTTGGAGAAGATCTGCAAAGAGGAGTGGGACAAAATCCCTCCTGAGATGTGTGCAAACCTGGTGGCCAACTACAAGAAACGTCTGACCTCTGTGATTGCCAACAAGGGTTTTGCCACCAAGTACTAAGTCATGTTTTGCAGAGGGATAAAATACTTATTCCCTCATTAAAATGCAAACCAATTTATAACATTTTTGACATGTGTTTTTCTGGATTATTTTGTTGTTATTCTGTCTCCCACTGTTCAAATAAACCTACCATACAAATTATAGACTGATCATGTTTTTGTCAGTGGGCAAACGTACAAAATCAGCAGGGGATCAAATACTTTTTTCCCTCACTGTATGGACAATTCCCTCGAACTCATGGTTTAGTTTTTGCTCTGACATGCACTGTCAACTGTGGGCAGATGTGTGCCTTTCCAAACCATGTCCAATCAATTGAATTTATCACAGGTGGACTCCAAGTTGTAGAAACATCTCAAGGATGATCAATGAAAACAGGATGCACCTGAGCTCAATTTCGAGTCTCATAGCAAAGGGTCTGAATACTTATGTAAATAAGATTAGTTTTTTTTATAAATGTGCAAAAATATATAATAACCGGTTTTTGCTTCGTCATTATGGGGTATTGTGTGTAGATTGATAATATATTTAATCCATTTCAGAATAAGGCTGTAACGTAACAAAATGTGGAAAAGGGGAAGGGGTCTGAATACTTTCAGAATGCACTGTATGTTAGTCATTATTCTACATTTCAGCATTCCCACCAACCCATATAGTCCTGTGGGAATACTAGAGGCATGTGTTTCCAAAGGCATGCTATAGGCTAGCCTAAAACGGTTTACTGAGGAGCTACTGGGTAAATAAAGTTGTTTTTCCTTCCTTTCCTTCCTTTCTTGTATCTGTGCAGCTGCTTCCCTGTGTGGTGCAATATCTCTGTCAGCTCTGAATGGCCAGTGGGGAGCCACCTGCTGCTTAAACTAGGCTAGAGAAACCTTTAAAAAAAAGACCCAACTAGAAAGGAAGTCAAACACATTATATGCACACACACACTAGTGTTGCACGGTATACCAAAACCTCTGTACTTTTTCAATACTAGAACATGAAAATCGGTTCGGCAGTAGCTAGCCAGGCTGCGCTTGCGCATGCAGCTGACACAGCGCAAAACACTTTTGAGAAGCACGCAAGCGAGAGAAAATGTCGACAGCATGGTTCTTCAAACGAAAACATCATACCTCTTTGCCTGAAGCTTGTTGACAAAACTGGCTGTTACAAAGCAGTGCAATGGAAGGTTTAGTTCCAAGCAAAATGACATACAACAAACTATTTTATACAACATTTGCATTGTAACGTTATTGTTATTCTACTAAATTTTTATTATTTGAGTCACAATGACATGAACATATATTCAGCATGACATTCATTTGAGCATTATAACGTGATTACACAACCCAGAAGTAATGTGAAATGCACTCATTACTTGACAGCAATATATTTTGACTACTTAGAGTTTCTCTAGGCTTACTAGCAGTAGCCAGTAGCCAGCCAGCAGCCTTGGGCGGAGCATTGCACCCTGGGAAGTGAAATGCACTCTGGGACTCGTAGTATGCTGTGTAAATTGTATTGTATTTCTATGGCGTCTAGACTATTGCAATGTAAAAGTTTCAGAAATGAGTGTCAAATTGATTTTTATGTCGTTTTGGAACTAAACTATTCGTTTAATACATTCAATTATTTAGCTGTAATGAAAAATGTATTGCAGGTCTAACGAATGTTATTGACCCAATATTATGGCCATAGTTGAGCAAATTAACCCTGATAAGTATCAAATTACTTTTTAAAACAGATATGGTTTTGCATAAGGGAAATGTAAAGTTTTCTTCTGTTATTTAATATGGTGTTTTACTTTTTGGAAGAAATTGAATATAGAAAAGAAGATATTCTATTTATTCTACCAGTTATCAACATTGTTCACTGTAAACAATCTATAAAGCCCAGTGGTTATTCTGTGGCTTTAGTTAATACGCGTCTTTTTTTGCCATGGTATTGTTTCGGAATGGGGGTATTGTTTTGGTATCGAGTATTATGATCCTAAACCTGGTATCAATGTCAGAAATCTGGTATCGTGACAACACTAATACACACACAGACATGACACACACACACTCCAAGTGTTCCATATAAAGGGCCCATTTTAACATTCCTAGTAGCTGGGCAGATATTCCCTTTTAACTGCCTGGGCTCCCTCCTCTTCAAGGTCCTTCAAAAAAAAAAATCAGTGGTACTAGCTAATGAACACAGTGCATTTACACAATCATAAATCCTACACTCACATTAACTCTGTTCTCTTGCAGAGAGTTGGAAATGAAACAGCAGAGGGAGAGAGAGACAAAGAGAGAGTGTAAAAGAGAGGGGGGGGAGGTCGGGTGATGGGAGAAATAGATCCTATCTTTTGGCTGCTATACAGGGAGATATACTGTAGGAAAAATCCCACTGCGAAAAGCATTTCAGAGAAGCTTTCAGCTGTCAGTCTGACTGTCAATGGAGACAGCGAGTGGGAGGGATAAAAAAACAAAGGAGCCAGGAAACAAAGCGAGAATGAGGTGGTGTGAGGACACATGAGTTCAGAAAGAAAGTGGAGAAGTGGTAGGAAAAGAGGTGGGTACACAGTGAGGGCAGGGGAGTCACTAAATTGGGGTAAAGGGTTAAGTGTTTGTGAGTGAGAGAGAGGGGAGAGAATGAGAGCGAGAGGGGGAAGAGAGAGAGACCAAGAAAGAGAGAGAGAAAGAAGAGAGACAGAAATAGAGAGAGAGTGCGAGAGAGAGAGCGCGAGAGCGAGAGAGAGAAAGAGGGAAAAGAGGATGCTAGACTAGCTAGCACAGAACCAAAGTAGGAGAAGCAGAGAGATACAGGAGGAGGGTTGGCTGTCAGCTAATCCAATATCTGACTGGATTAGCAGAAGATACAGAGAGATACAGGAGGAGGGTTGGCTGTCAGCTAATCCAATATCTGACTGGATTAGCAGAAGCGGCTGCTATGATATTTTTGGGCAAACAATACCCCCATGCCAATAGTGGCTCCTATTCACAGCTATTGTTACAGGGGGATGAACGGGGAGAGAGGACTTAGAGCCAGTTAGACTGTTTGCATTGTGCTTCCCTCTCAAGCTGCACATGATCCACAAACAGGCCACGAGTGAGAGAGAGACAGAGAGAGAGGAAAGAAGGAAAGGAAGAGAGAGAGCGAAGTGAGGGACGTGCGGGTCGAGAGATAGAAAACACAGGGAGGGATACAGGCCAAAGAGGCTTGGTTCCAGTTGCATTGGGACAGGCAGGGAGAGAGGAGAGAAAAGGAAAGAGCTTAGGAGCGGGCAGTGGCAGAGCTTGAGGAGCGGAGAGGGAAGAGTGCCACCTATTGGACAAAGAATCTCACTTCACCTGGCTGAAAAGTACCGTATATCAGGACTATGACACACAAAATAAACACAGCCAACATCTTTCTTCTATCTGTCCTTCAAGGCTATACACCAGTGGAGGCTGCTGAGGGGAGGATGGCTCATAATAATGGCTGAAATGGAGTGCAATGGCTGGAATGGAGTGAATGGTATCAAAACATAATGCGTTTGATACCATTCCATTCACTCCATTCCGGCCATTATTATGAGCTGTCCTCTCCTCTGCAGCCTCCACTGCTATACACTACAGTCATAACTTACAAGTGTTCACCAAACACACAATACATCAAAGAAATGTGAGTCATAAATGTTTACCATACCTGTATCACATTAATAAACCGGTATGAGCAATATTTTACCATCTAATGTTTTCATAATGTTAACCTGGGTGTGTCACAACACATTCTCTGTTACTATGAGCCTTACCCAGCATGTTGAAGATAAAGTCTTTGGCCGTGTGGACCTCCAGGGCCAGTTGGTCCCCGAAGTCCCCCTGCTCCAGGGTGACCAGCTCAGACACCTGGGCCGACAGCTGCTCCAGCATGACCCCCGACCGGAAGTCCACCGCCGAGGCGTTCTTCACCGGGGCCGGGGACCGGGGAGCCACCGCACTCATCAGGGTCTCCATGGGGATTCACACCCTATGGTTGGGTATACAGTCGTGGTCAAAAGTTTTGAGAATGACACAAATACAAATTTTCACAAAGTGAAGAGTGATCAGATGAATTGCAATTAATTGCAATGTCCCTTTTTGCCATGAAAATGAACTTAATCCCCAAAAAACATTTCCACTGCATTTCAGCCCTGCCACAAAAGGACCAGCTGACATCATGTCAGTGATTCTCTCGTTAACACAGGTGAGAGTGTTGATGAGGACAAGGCTGGAGATCACTCTGTCATGCTGATTGAGTTAGAATAACAGACTGGAAGCTTTAAAAGGAGGGTGGTGCTTGAAATCATTGTTCTTCCTCTGTTAACCATGGTTACCTGCAAGGAAACATGTGCCGTCATCATTGCTTTGCACAAAAAGGGCTTCACAGGGAAGGATATTGCTGCTAGTAAGATTGCACCTAAATCAACCATTTATCAGATCATCAAGGACTTCAAGGAGAGAGGTTCAATTGTTGTGAAGAAGGCGTCAGAGCGGCCAAGAAAGTCCAGCAAGTGCCAGGACCGTCTCCTAAAGTTGATTCAGCTGCGGGATCGGGGCACCACCAGTGCAGAGCTTGCTCAGGAATGGCAGCAGGCAGGTGTGAGTGCATCTGCACGCACAGTGAGTCGAAGACGTTTGGAGGATCAAGAAGTCAAGAAGGGCAGCAAAGAAGCCACTTTTCTCCAGGAAAAACATCAGGGACAGACTGATATTCTGCAAAAGGTACAGGGATTGGACTGCTGAGGACTGGGGTAAAGTCATTTTCTCTGATGCATCCCCTTTCCGATTGTTTGGGGCATACTGAAAACACCTTGTCCGGAGAAGACAAGGTGAGCGCTACCATCAGTCCTGTGTCATGCCAACAGTAAAGCATCCTGAGACCATTCATGTGTGGGGTTGCTTCTCAGCCAAGGGAGTGGGCTCACTCACAATTTTGCCTAAGAACACAGCCATGAATAAAGAATGGTACCAACACATCTTCCGAGAGCAACTTCTCCCAACCATCCAAGAACAGTTTGGTGACGACCAATGCCTTTTCCAGCATGATGGAGCACCTTGCCATAAGGCAAAAGTGATAACTAAGTGGCTTGGGGAACAAAACATCGACATTTTGGGTCCATGGCCAGGAAACTCCCCAGACCTTAATCCCATTGAGAACTTGTGGTCAATCCTCAAGAGGCAGGTGGACAAACAAAGACCCACAAATTCTGACAAACTTCAAGCATTGATTGTGCAAGAATGTGCTGCCATCAGTCAGCATGTGGCCCAGAAGTTAATTGACAGCATGCCTTTGCAGAGGTCTTGAAAAAGAAGGGTCAACACTGCAAATATTGACTCTTTGCATAAACGTAATGTAATTGTCAATAAAAGCCTTTGACACTTATGGAATGCTTGTAATTATACTTCAGTATACCATAGTTACATCTGACAAAAATATCCCATAACACTGAAGCAGCGAACTTTGAGAAGACCAATACTTGTCATTAACAAAACTTTTGACCACGACTGTACAGGTCTTGTCAATCATTTTTATAAAGGGGAGAAGACAAATTGCTACTACTTTGCGTACCTTGTGTGTTATTGGCAAAGTTAATTGTAAACTTTATTGTACTAGCACTGACTATGAATTGGCTATCAAATTGGGCGTGATACCAAGAATGTGTTGGATTATAAATCACACGCATTGAATAGCATTTCAAATAAACTCAAATCAAATTTGATTTGTCACATGCGCCGAATACAACAGGTGTAGACTTTACAGTGAAATGCTGACTTACAAGCCCTTAACCAACAATGCAGTTAAGAAAAACAAGTGGAGTAAAAAATAGATAAGTAAAAAATGAAAGGTAATTAAAGAGCAGCAGTAAAATAACAGTAGCCCTAGCTATCTTTGTTATTGTTTTAAATTGTTAATCCACAGTATACTCAAATGAACATCAAAGTTCACATTAATCTGAAAGCCACCTGGTGTTTTTGAAACGCAAGCTACTTACAGTCAGTGACAGCATGGGTGCTGTCCTCAAAACTAGATCAATTAGCAAGCTAGCATGCTAATTAACGTTAGCTGGCTAATTTATGAGTCTAGCCAGTCACCCAACTGTTAGCAAATGTGCTTGCTACAACAGCACAAGCAGCCATAGCTACATCCATAACAGTTTAGACTTGCTAACTAGCTCTGATTATATGGAGGACACTAGAATCGATTTTTCGATAAACTAGGTAACTAGCATTCATTACCTAGTTAGTTAGTTAGCCAGCTGGCTTGCTAGCCGGACAGGTGGGGATAAGTGCACCAACACAACTGAGCTAGCTAGCAAACTGTACAGCGATTCATTCACACACCGCAACGTTGCATTGTTTGAATGCATGACTATACATTTGAACTAGCACACACCCTTAGCACGCAGATCTGGTGAAGTTTCTTTGCGATCTTCCAGGCTTACTATGTCGGTCTTTATATTGAAATCCGATTTCTTCTCCCGTCATTTCCAACAGGTCCCCAGCACCACCTTCCCTTTCCCCTAGCAACACAGACCCCGGAAATCACGCCCTCCACTGAGGATCTTGGGATTAGTAGTGTACCGGTAATATATCTCCCCTAAAAACTACAAAGCAGATTTGTAGGCTATGATTAAATTTGTAACCCTCTGTAGCCTACTGTAAGTACATCAGTTGAGATAAGGACAGTGCAGCACAGCCCTGGTCAGAGATTGGATAGGTTGCTATGATTAGCAGATCTAATGCAATTACAGAAATCGGTCACAGCAATTTGGCCAGGGATGGGCAACTTTGATGGGGGTGAGGGCCACAAAAAATCTGAACTCATCATGAGGGGCCGCAGCTGCTCGCGGGTCTGCATACCCTCATCCAAGCCCCACACACATTGCGAGCTAAATATCTTAGTGGCCCCCCTCTTGACAGCGGAGAGGGTTTTTCTTTTCGGCTGCTCACAGAAACGGAAGTTCTTGCTGACTTATTAGCTATCAACATCAAGAAGTCATTAGGGGCTGACAATTTGGACCCGTCTTTGCTTAAGTATAATTTGGACCCCTGTGCCCCCCCCCCCCCCCATAATTACTGGCTCAGTAACACACATTTTGTATTTAACTTTAGTATCAGGAAATATTCCAGAAGCTTTTGTGCTACCACTCCATAAGGGTGGGGATAGTAGTGATCTTGATAATTATCGACCCATTTCCAGGCTTCCTTGTCTTGCAAAAATACATTGGTCAACAAACAGCTACGTTATTTTCTATCTGTAAATGGTATTTTTAATGTTAATCAATCTAGATTGATTCATACCTAAACATAGCACCACTACAGCTTGTTAGATGATAGAACGAATTGTGCTGCCATGTTTGTAGACTTGTCAAAAGCTTTTGATACTGTAGAACCATGTCATTCTGTTGAATAAGCTGTCCTCAATAGGGTTGGGTACTGATGCTTGCCAATGGTTTCATAATTATTTCAATGACAGAACTCGGGCCATCAAGGTAGATGGGGTAAAATCTGAGTTCCTTGAGGTACATAAAGGGTTGCCCCATGGTTTGATACGCGGCCCACTACTGTTTACAATCTATATAAATAACATTGGTAATGCTGTAAAAAACATATATATATATTCATTTGTATGCAGATGATAAAGTGTTGTATTCCATTGCTCCATCGGTTGGCCAAGACCTTTTCACATTTGAAGTCTGATTTTCATGCACTGCAGAGGTCACTATTGGATCTGAAGTTAGCGCAAAATGCAAACAAAACACATGCTTTTTTCTAGGTCCCATAACACAGATTTAAATTAATATGTAATGACTAGTTTGAATGGTACACAAACTGAGCGAGTTCCTTCCTACAAATATCTTGGTATCTGGCTTGATGGCAAACTGTCATTTAAAAAACGTCACTGAGCTGGTTGAAGTTCAAGGTTGGTTTCTTTTACACAAACAAAGCATGTCTGACTTTTGTTAATAGGAAGGAAATTGTCCAGGCCACTTTTATTTCTATTTTATATTATAGGGATATTATCTTTATGCATGCAGCAGCATCTACACTTAAACCACTAGATGTTTTTTTCCATTTTGCCCTTAGGTTTATTACTGATGATGGTTCTAGAACTCGCCATTGTGTTTTGTATCATAAAGTGGGTTTGGGCCTCTTTTTTTCTTTTCTTTTTTTTTTAGGGGGTAGATCAGCTTTAATATTGCAGATAGATTGTAACTTCCATCAATGTAATTGTCTGCATCACTTCCAATCCCCCATATGTTTTTTCCCCTCGCAAATAGATATATGTATATATATTCATATATATATATATACATATATATACACACATACACATATATACATACACATACACACATACACACATACACACATACACATACATACATACATACATACATACATACATACATACATACATACATACATACATACATACATACATACATACATACATACATACATACATACATACATACATACATACATACATACATACACATACATACACACACATACACATCCTTTAAAAAAATATTATTATATTATTGATCGATTGACTATGACTTTTCAGATCACCCAGTAATGCTATCTGCAGGGTTAGGTCCAAGTAAATATTGCAGTCCTTTAGCCATTCCTGGACCTGTGTCCAAAAACAAGCTACAAATGGACAGTACCAAAACAAATGATCTAATGATTCTGTCTCTTCGCAGCAAAATCTGCAGAGCTGGGAAGATTGTATCCCCCATATAAATAACATTCTATCGGTTGCAAGAATTTTATATAATAATTTAAATAGAAAAATTCTAAGTTTTGAATCTGGCGTCGTTTTGCGTATCAGTTCATGAACACTATGCCATGGAATTCGTACGTCAAAAATCTCTTCCCAA